TCTACCATATCCAGAGTGGGGGTATAATGCAACATGCATTCCTGCTTCCAGATGAAAAATGGATTCCCAATGAAACTGTTGGAAATGTGTAGACAATGGGATGCTGGACTGTCTGACATTGTCTGTACCGGCAATGTCGGGTACACTTAAATAAGAGACTGATGGGAATGTGATTCCTTATGAAAGACTACAACATTGTAGTAAAATGGGGAAAATCTGTCAGGTGTGGGAGTTTGGAGGGGAATCCCAGTCTATATGAAATTGTACCACATAATTAAAAAATGGAAAATAAAAATTAAAAAAAATGACTCCAGAGAAATTAAGAGGGAAAACTGAAAAAGCATTTTGTGAAATGCATGAAATCTATTCTCTTTATATAAATAAGGAAAAAAGCATATTCAAAAATGGCATAATTAAAAATACAGGATAAGTTCAGTTTTACGTCAGGTAAAGGTTGAATTTTATATTTAAAACTGTGAATAACCTAAACATTTTAAGAGTAGGAAACTGATTAATTTATAGTACATTTAAACGAAATGGAGCTGCTTGGACATGAACTGGTGCCCAAATGGCTCACCAGTGATGCTGGCAGTGGCTTAACTAGTTCTACCTATTTATTTGAAAGGTCGAATTAGAAAGAGAGAGTGAATAAGAATGACTGAATCTATTATCTGCTGGTTTGCTCTCCAAATGGCTGCAACAATTGGGGCTGGGCCAGGCCAAAGCCAGTAGTCCAGAACTCCATTTGTGTCTACGATTTGGATGGCAGTATCCCAAGCACTAGAAGCATCTTCCACTGCTTTCCCAGGTGCATTGTCAGGGAGCTGGAACCAAAGTAGATCAACTGGGACTTGAACTAGTGGTCGCATGGCAGCAACTTTCCCCGCTGAACCAAAACACCAGTTCCTAAAGATAAAGTTTTAATTGATAGGCTTCTGTAATTAGAATGGACGTCAAGGAGTTGGTAGAAAGATGGAATTAAAGGGTAATGCACATTTTTCAGAAACTTTGAATCCCCCTCAAGTATTTCATTTTGATTCTTTAGTTTCTTTCTTTTTAAAAATAAAAGTTAACACTTTTATTACTTTGATAATACTTTGATGAGTTTGTGCTGGATTTCTTGGTTCATTTGCTTTTCATATTCAGAATGCAGGAACAAAATACACATATAGCTGTAGCATAAAATTGTTAATATGTGTTGGTTTATTTAGTCATTTTTTAAAATAAGTTTTTGAATCGATAATAGGTGAACATGATACAAGAGTTCATAGAAGCCATAATGGTATATGGTGCAAAATAATCTCTCAGCTATCCAGGTCCTCTTCTCAGAGGCAATTAGAATTGCTACTTCTTTTGTGTGTGTGATTTTATGATTCTGTGATGCTGTCTGCTTTCATAAATAGGTACACAAATAAACACTTCACATAAATCATAGCATATTAATCATACCATTTCCTTACTTGTTTTAACTCAAGAATAGGAGAGAATTGAAAAAGCTTGTGGGAAACTTTTTGGAACATTGTGTAGCTTATAAATAGTCATACATCTGTATGTTGGTAAAAACTTTATCATTTAAAAGTTTGTGTGAATGAGTTCTAATTGACTTAACATATTTCTGTTGAAATTCGCTATAATTAACTTCTGTTAGTATTTATTATAATTGAACTATTATTTTAGGTAATAGATATTGGCTAGGTGTTGGGGATAGGGAGAGAGAGGCGAAAGAGAGAAAGACAGACAGACATACATATCCACCCTTCATGGAACTTCAGTTGTATGAGATGGATACATTAGTAAAATTCCTGTTCGAATAAAAATAAGAAGGAGAATCATAATTATAGTAAGTGCTGAAAGTGTAATGGAGGGAATTGATATGATCTGGGAGGTGAATGACAACTATTCTGACAAAGTGAGTTCATATCAGAATGATTTATTAATTTATTCGTAGCAGCCCCCTATTACCTGTCATCAACTGTGGCCCAAAAATGTTAAATGTAAAATTTCAGCTGTTAGCTATTCTTGTTTGACATTGCCTGCTATTTGATGAAATCTTATACTGCCAAGTTTCATCCCATGTGGAATAGTGAATCCTTGTTTTGTCCAGTGTGTTGATGTGTCATAAACAACTTGGCTATTAGTCATTTAGTAATCACCTCTGTCATCAGGTTGCACATTGTTGTAGTTTTCGCATTGAAGTCAATCTTATTAAGTAATGATGCTGGAAATTTGGATATGATAAACTGAAGTCATAAAGTGCTGTTTTCAAGTGAATAGGTGAGGAAAGTTCAGTAAAACATTTTGAGAGGAACACCCATATAACTCTAGTTTATCAGAATTATTCTAAGTTGTTAATCAATCTGTTATTCTGACTCATAAGTCAAAATTTATTACAGGTATCTTTATGTAGTAAAAGATATATGTGTATATATGGAATGTTTATATGGTATATGGAAGGTCCAGCTCACTTTGTGCTTTCAGGTGTCTATGAGGGACCTTAGAGTACATTCCCAATGGGTTAACGTTGTTATTTTGTCTTGTGATATCTGTCTTCCTGTTTATTCTGTATTTCTAAGTCTTACTGCCTCTCAAGCTTGTCACATAAACAAGCCATATAGCGATTTTTTCCCCTACTCTTCTTTCTAACTGCTGTTTTTGTCTCTCCTTCATTTAGCAGGGAAGGGTTGTCTTAACTTGGCCTTTTTATTTACTTATTTCTCACTCAATTATGAAAAAAAAAATCCAGACTTCGTCCTTCTGAGTCTGTTCCAGTCTTGTTTATAACTATACTACAGCAGAACAGATACCACCAAAGTTAGCAATGAGCTCCATTCCCAGCAGCGACTTGTAAATTTGTGTTTCTCCTGAATATTTGTGGCATTGGACGTAATGGACAACTCTTTCCTTAAAGTAGACTCTATTTTGAATTATACTTTTTAAAATTTAAGTTTTTTTTAGAAAAATGTTTATTATTTGATGATACAGTTCCATAGGCTCTGAGATTTCCCTTTTCCCCTCCCTAAATCCCTACTCCCACCCCAATGGTTTCTTCTGTATCATTACAATAGGATAGTCTCATAGTCTCATAAACAGTCGTATGTTTATCATTTGGCTGTTTAAGTGTATCCTGAGGTTGCAGGTGTGGTCCAGCAGCCTGTTGTCAAGATACATTTAACAGTTTCATTGGGAAATTTTCTTTTTACTATTTTTTATTATTACTATTTACTAAAAACATTTTTTTTTTTTACAATTGTTTACATAGTTGAAAGGGACTCACTGCCATGTGGGCCTCTGATTAGGGTGGGGGAGGGTCAGGTAGGAAGGTGGGACAAATGTTTTGTTTTTGTTTTTTTCTCTTAGGGAGGATAATGAGGGGGCCGCTCCACTCTTTGCTTTCAAACTTACATCAGCACTGGGACGGGGGATGGTCCTTTGATGACACCTTCGAGACCCCCATGTAGGGAAGAGTGTTCTGAGGGTGTTACTTGGTTCTGAAAAGTTGTTGATTACATTGCTCCAGGGCTCAGAAAATCTTTCTGAGGCCTATTCTCTGACCAAGTCCACCCCAATGCATCTGTAGACTCAGGAATATGCTGCCAAGCTTTGCCAGAATTACCCACTGTATTCTGATTTCCATCCTCTGATGAGGCAGTTGACATCTGCTGTCCTAGATGAGCTGGCTGTCCTGTCCCCCATGTGCATCTGGGGGCATCATGATTTGGGCACAGCACTGCACAAGCACCGCCATCTGAGGAGGCCCAGTCCTGACAACATACACTTCAAGGCTGGGTCACTTGGCTTGTTATTTTCCTTGTGGCTAGGACCTGAGTCCATTGGTCTATCTGGCGATCCCCCAAGAAACCTGGCCTTGAGTGACCTCAGACTTGACTCTTGTGTGCACTAGCCAACATACACACTAGTGGATGCAGCTGCCTGGTCAGTTCTGCCAAGCCCCATATCTCATGCAAGCCAATGGGTGCTGTGACCCAACCCAGCCAACCTGCCATAGACCAGTCCTCACACATACCAGTGGGTGCTGCAGCCTAGTAAGGGTGAGATCCAATAATCCCCATGAGACCTACCCATGGCCCCAGATTTTGCCCATGCCAGCCTCTGTGGCTCCTATCAAATACGTTAAGACAAGTTCTAGGCAGCATATGTAGATAATTCCCATTACCATTTCACTGCTAATAGCCTAGACCAAGCTACTATCACTTGACTTCTGCATTAGCTTCAATGGCCTTAACTAGGTTCACTTTTCAAAATAATTTACGGGAGAGGCAGAGAGATAAAGAGAGGGAGTCAGACAAATATTGAGATATTCCAGCAAGAATTTTAATACTTGGACCATCATTCCCTGCTTCCTGAGGTTCTTCAGCAGGAACTGGATCGGAAGTAGGAACAGAACAGCCACGACTCAAACAGTACTCTGAAAGAGAGTACAGGTGTCCCGGCTGGTGGCTGAACCTGCTGTGACCACAGTGTCCACCCTGCCTTCACTTACAAAGAAGAAGAATTGAGATGCACTGAGAGAGAAGAGAGATTTTCCATCCGCTTATTCCTTCACTAATTGGCTGTAAAGGCCATGGTGGGTCTAAGCTGAAGAAGGAAACCACAACTCCATTTGAGTGTCCTGTGCGAGTGGCAGAGACCCAAGTTCTGCTGCTGCTGCTTTCTCACGCACATTATCCTGGAGCTGCTTGGGAAACAGGCAACCAGGACTTGAACCTGCACTCTGACATGGGATGATGACATCGCAAGCTACAGTTTATGCCACTGCACCATATGTCAACCCTGTTAGTAAATTTATTAATGAGAAAATTTTTAATGAGACCTGATATGGTGTTTCTTTAAGCCAAATAAAAGATATGGTTAAGGCAAAAAGAGGGACTATTAGTAATAGATTTATTATCTCATCTTGTTCTGTGTATATTCATATAAAATATGCAGCTTTTTACAATGCATGACCTTATTATGTATAATTTTTTTTTCTTAATTAAAAGGCTAAGAAGCACCAGGCCTTCCTAGTAGAGACATGTGAAAATAACGTGAAGGAATTGGACTCGATCTTGGACAGCTTTACTGTGTCGGGCCAGTGGACATCAGGTTAGTGGAAGGTATAAAATGACAGATGCATCTGTCAATGTTCCAAAGTCACTACATTGTGGGAATTCTGCAGATGCCTCTTACAGTCCCTTATCTCAACATGCTTTGATTTGATGACATGATAAGAGCAGTCCTCACAGCAGTCGGTTGGCCTCGCTGGCTGGGAAAGGGTGACGGGATGCGGACCTGCTGTTGTCCTCCCGGAACTTGATTTACAAGGATTGGGGTTTGCATGATTGGACAGACAGGGCTCACTTGCTGTGTTCTGAATCCAACTGAGAAAAAAGTCCTTACAGTATACCTGCAAGGGGAACAGATGTTTCCATCAAACTGAGCCAAATTCTGAGGCGACCTTCAACAACTTAAAGGTCATGCATTCAAAAGGTTATGCAGGACGCAGGCTGTAACACAGTGCGTGTTCAATACTGTTGCTTTCTAACCTGGTTCTTGCTTTCAATTCTCGCTACCTTGTACAAATGCTGTCTGGGTAACAGGGCTTAGGTAAATTCTTTTGGTTTTAACATTAGTTGTAATATTATAGGGAACTGTAAAAGCCATTCATAGATGTATTTTGAGAATACTACCAAAAGTATTAATTGTGTAATGAATTCTGTTCTCCATTTCTGCTTTATTGGAGATGCTATCCGAGCTTTTACTTGAAATATTTTTACTTTTCCTCTGCAGGTTTTTTTGAAACCATATTACCGGCCTCATATTGTTTAGTTTCTTCTGCCACAATTATATTTTTCAAAAAGCACACAAAATTTAAGTACTTACACTTTCAAATTGAACTACTACACCAACAGTGATTTGGTGAAAGACTTTAGGAAGCTCTTAAATTCAAGAGAGTTTGTTGTCCTTGAGAGAGTGCTCAAGGTGCATATATATCTTAGGATACTGTAGATTTCTCAATTGCTGACTATTAGAAATTTAGTGTGCAGTAGTTTGCTTTTTTCCTTTTCTTCTTGCTTTAATTTTATGAAATTAATAATCTTTTTTTCCTTAGCTTCTCCCGAAAGTGTTAGTGTTTCATAGATTATAGCTGGAAAAATTAGAGTAAAGAGAGATGCCATAACAAATATAGTTATATGTATAGGCATGTGACTCATTGGTTAAGTTCTGTTTAGGACACCTCTATCCCATACCAGACTGGCTGGTTCAAGGTCTGGCTATTCCACTTCTGAGCCAGCTACTTTGTACACTTTGGAGGCAACAGCTGATGGATCAAGTGTTTGGTTCCATATTATTCCAATGGGTAACTTGAATTGAGTTCTAGGGTCCTGACTTTGGCATGGGTCACACCTGGTATTGCAGGCATTTGAGAAGTGAGTGAGTGAATAAATAGAAGACATCTCTATATTTTCTGTCTTTCTTATCTGCCTTGGAAGTAAAAAGAAAATAGTTGAAAGCATTATGGATTTTTAGTTTTTAATTATATTTGCTGAAACTTTGGAGGATGAAATATTCTGTTACAAAGGTACTATTTCCTTAATGAGTTGTATCAGCGTTGTCTAGTGAGGTCAGGTTCTTTGCAAGGTGTTACATGTTTTAATAGATATTCCTTATTCTTCAATATGTTCTTAAATATTTATTGAGACTCAAATTAGAAAAACTAAGAATAATGAGGTCATGTCTCCTTTGAGTTTTAAAATAAAATGATTGATAAAAGAGTCACTCATAAGTTATTACTAAGTCTACAGGAAAAGAATTGTCTTTCATTGAAGTTATGCTTTTTCACATTTTACATTTTATTATTATTATTATTTTATGATACAGTTCCATAGGCTCCTGGTGTTTCCCTTATCCCAACTCCCTCTCCCATAGTTCCTCTATATAATTACTAAAGTGTAGTTCTTTATACACAGTCATATGTACATCATTGTGGGCATGGACAACGGCAGAGAGTACAGCATCCTATTGTAAAGATACAGTAAACAATTTCATTATAAGTCCATCTTTCTCTGGAAGTAGAAATGTATACCACACTGCATCCTCACATCTGGATATGTTAGTCTCCATTTCACAACTACTGTACATCCCCTTAAATGAAAAGTCATAATACAAAATCAACAATAGAAAGAAAAATAGAGATTTACAATGCCATGAAGTTAAATAACATGTTACTAGATATGACAGTCTCCATTACACAGCTACTATACATCCCCTTAAATGAAAAGCCACAAAACAAAATCAACATCAGGAAGAAAAAAGAAATTAACAACAACATGAAATTAAAGAACATGCTACTAAATGACTAAAGTGTAGCTGAAGAAATGAAAATCAGGAACCTTTTTGCAGAAAATGATGCTACTGTATGATCTATGAGTCATTGGAGAATTTAATCAGAAGAAAGTGTTTTGAGGAGATGAAACTAACCAAAAACATTGAAACCCATGCAATATAGTTTCCGCTGATCTTTGCTGATGAAATGTGTCTCTTCTAGACAAAAAAAAAATGGGTTTTGTTTTTTAATCCAGTCTACTAATCTATGATGTTTGATTGATGACTTTAAGCCATTTACATTCAGGGTTACTATGTATAGGTGGTACTTTGGTCCTGTCATTTTAGGAATGGGTTGTTCATTGGTTTCATCTTCTGTTGTCATTTTACTTGGATGTTCTTCCCGTTTGCCTTTGGTTTTGGTAGGTGCTATTCCTCTTCTCTGTCAAGAGAACATCTTGAAGTAGCATTTGTAGGGCAGATTTGGAAGAGGCATATTCTTTTAACTTTTCTTTACTGTGGAAGAATTTTATTTCATTTTCAAAGATGAAAGAAAGCTTTGCTGTGTACATTATCCTAGGCCGCCATTTTTTTTTTCTTTTAAAATCTGGAATATGTCACTCCATTCTCTTCTTCACTGTAGAGTTTCCTGTGAGAGGTCTCCTGTGAGTTTAATTGGCATTCCGTTATATGTCAATTGATTTTTATCACTTGCACATTTAAGGATCTTTTCCGTATGTTCAATTGAAGAGAGCTTGATGATCATGTGTCTTGGTGAAAATTGCTTTTGGTCAAGCCTGTTGGGAGTTCTGTGCCCCTCCTGGATGTTGTTTCCCAATTCTTTCTCTAGATTAGGGAAATTTTCCTTTATTATTTCATTTAAGATATTTGTAAAACCAGTTTCTCTTTCTGCACCTTCTGGGACTCCCATAACTCTTATATTAGGCCTCTTAATAGTATCTTTCAATTCTTGAATACGTTTTGGCCTGATCCAGCTCTGCTTCCAGCTTTTTGTTTGCTTCCCCCCTGATGACAGGAAATATCTTCCAATTCTGAGATTCTTTCTTCTGCTTCTTTCATTCTATTTTGGAGACTGTCCACTGTACTTTTAATTTGCTGTACTGAGTTCTTAATTTCTGATATATCAGCCTTGATTTGCTTTATTGCCTCTGTTGCTTATGTACAATATTCCTTAAATTCTTTGAATTCTTGTATGTGCTTCTGATTGTTGATCAGAATCTTTAAAATGAGTTTTCTTAATTCTGTATCTCCCATTTTCTCAATGTCTTCCTCAGTTAACTCTGAAGTTGACATAGGGTTTTGCTCATTTGCAGGGGAATCTTCAGGAATATTCATTATGCCTTTGTCTCTTCTTTTGTTCTTGGTCATTGTACTTCTGGTTAGCAGAGTCTTCTCCTTGGGGCAGGTTTCTAAGCTCCGTCACCCACAGGTCTGCAGTTTGATTTTACTTATTGCTCTTAGTACTCAACTCTTTGCAGCCAATTGTGCCACTCCTTCCAGTGAGTTCCAGGTCTGGGTTCTTATATTAGATTTCCACAAAGAACTCCGTAGTCCCACCTCCTGGCTCACCAGTCTCCACCTCCTGTGATACCATGCTGAGGCTGCACTGTAGTCTGTACAATCTTTTTCCCACTTCTGGTTGGAGCAGGTCCCAGCATTAGGGAGACACTAGGTATCCTATATGGCTAGGTTGTTGGTAGTGCTGATCTTGGAGGACCCTGTTGGCCGTTAGGTCTGGGTGGCACATGGACCTCTTTTGAACCTTACGATGCCACAGTTGGTATTATTTTCCTGTGGGGCCAGTGAAATCCATGGAACTCAATGGGTTCTCATAAGCTCAGCATATGTGCAGTTCACTGTTGTCCCCTGCAGTTCTAAAGCTTATGCCACAGTGTACAAAATGTCACATGACATGCCACTACTAGAGTTGTTGATCTGCTGGCTATCAGGTCTGAGGGCTACCCAGACCTGTCTTGGGTTTAACCTGTAGGATGCCACATTGATGCAGTTTACTGAGTCAGAAATGAGTTCACTCTCAGCTCAGTGTATGCTCAGTCCTTTCCCTTGCCTTTGCTTCCTTATGCAAAATGGTGCCAATTCGGCTCTAGGGAGCTGACTGGGCTATGAAATTCACCCTGTTCTCGCACTGCCTGTCTGGGATCTGCTGCTCTGTCTCTGCTCCTGGTTAAATCAAACAGACCAGCAGAACGAGTTCTTTGTCTGGGTCCACCTCCCAAGCTCCCAGAGAAAGCCCCTTCCCACCTGGTTGCTGGTGGAATTCCGCCTGTTGGTGGAGTTCAGATAGCTGCTGGAGTATCAGTCACTGCAACAGCGCACCGTTGTTTTTGCTGCTTTCCTGTGTCTGTCAATCTCCAGGTACCCCTCTGCTGTTGTTCTGTCCTCTCCTATTTCCCGGAATGTGTCCTCTCTGCTTCATCCTGATTAAATGTTTCTCCGTGCGTTTAAATGTGTCTTTACCCTATTCCCCCTTCTTGATTTTCCCCTGAAATTACTCTTTGTTTTTATGCAATAATGCTTTTTGAAATTTTTCTAGTTTCCTATATAAATGTAGCTATTTTGCAGACTGTATTCTAGAATTAGGATTATGCAATTAAATAGTGGGTTGCAGATCATTATAGAATGGCCTTTGTTTCCTCCATTGTGTTGGTTAGTTCAGCCTTTTATCATCTTATGTCCATTCTTGTGTGGTCTTTGTTGCATCTTAGGCCTTGGGAGGCTAAGTTTCTGTGATTCTGGGT